AAATTGAACTTGTTTTTTTACTACTTACTTTGATCAAGTTTTTAAGCATTTTTCATGTGTGTAATATTATATAACATTACACTTGATAAGACATTCCTATAATTTCTATGTCTTTAACACCTAAAAGTGAAAATTGTTCCATTTGATTTAATGATTATACATTGTGGTAAAAAACAATGCTTTTCCTAGCAAACATCTTTCCTCCAACCAATCTGCAGACATCAGCAGGATAATCTCTGGGAGGAGACATTTTAATGTGGAGGGAAACAAAGGACTGGTCCATAAATAAATTAATATATGGAGATTTTATCAATCAATACCAACATTTACACACAGAGCGGGGAGGGCTACCGAACACAATGATTTATAAAACAATTAATGATTTTAAAAATGGAAGATTAATAACATATAAAAGTGTAACTGCTAATGAAAACACTGAGGTGATAAATATCTTAAAGAGTAAGAACCTGTTACCAGTCAGAGAGCATTCAGATGTTCGGTGGCGGATGTCTATGGGACCCTAACCCCAACTTCCTGTTAGGGTTGTTATGTTACAATAAATCAATGTCCAATGATTAACTGCAGCGATGATGAGACACAACAGCATCTTTTAATGGACGGTTACAGACAAGGCCGCTTTAATGCACGGGCTTACCTGGGCTGAAGCGAGAGGAAGAGAGAGCCTCTCCCCGTTACTGATGATGAAGATGACCCATATAACAGTGACCCGGGCCGCTGGGGAAACAATACTGACACAAAAACGCGGGCTTATTGGGCGGATATCCGGAGTCCTGTCAAAATAAAGATGCTGACGTGTCGGCATCGGAACGCCAATATAAACAGCAGAGAAGATTTTTTCTCAAAAATGCATTTCAAACGCAAACTCAGTAACGGAGAGTGTGTGCCCAGAGAATGGCTCTCTTATTCACCATCAGCAGGTAGTGTGTTTTGTTTTGCCTGCAAAATATTTGGCGAGAACAAGGAGAAGTCAGCATTTGTGAGTGGGGGTTATTTTGACTGGAAACATGCTCATGATCGTATAGCAGAACATGAAAGCTGTGACATTCACAGAAAAGCCATGATCGCTTACATCAATCAAGCAGCTGACAGTGGGACAGTGGACTCAAGAAACAGTTCAATGAGGAGTGTGAATACTGGACACAGGTTCTACAGAGAGTTGTTACTGTTGTGAAGTTTTTGGCTGAACGGGGACTTGCTTTCAGGGGTGACAGCCACAGGTTTGGAGACACCGACAACGGCAATTATTTGGGGTGCATGGAGCTGATCAGCCAGTTTGATCCTTTTTTAAAGGCTCATATTGAAAAATATGGAAACGCTGGCAGAGGAACCCCATCCTACCTCTCCCTGAATGTGTGTGAGGAATTCATACAGCTGATGTGACAGAAAGTGCTCGAGGAAGTAATCAGCAGAGTGAAACTCGCAAAGTATTTCGCTATCAGTGTGGACTCCACGCCAGATATCACACATGTGGACCAGCTGACTTTCATCCTGCGGTACGTATCACCAGAGGGCTGTATAGAGGAGCGCTTTGTTAAGTTCCTCCCTATTGAAAGCCACACGGGAGAAGCACTGTTCAATTCAATCATTGGTGTTTTAGAGGAGATGGGCATTGACATTAATAACTGTAGGGGACAATGTTATGACAATGCTAATAATATGTCAGGAGCCTACAAAGGCGTGCAGGCCCGCAGCAAGCAGATCAACTCATTGGCACAGTGGGTACCCTGTGCAGCACATACCCTAAACCTGGTGGGGGTCAACAGTGTGAACTGCTGTGAGGAGACTGAACAGTTTTTCAGTTTTGTACAAGCTTTGTTACACTTTTCATCAAAGACCACTTCACGCTGGCAGATGATCAGGGCAGGGTTGCAGCCCAATGATAATAAAAGAAGAAGAAAAAAAAGAAAAGAAAGAAGAAAACTCCATACAGTGTTTCCAAACACAGACATATCTCTACGGCTATTCCTGACTATGCCAGTGACCAACGCGAGCGGAGAACGGTCCTTCTCCAAACTGGGCTTGGTGAAAAACAGACTGCGATCAAGCATGCAGCAAGACTGAGTCAGTCATCTCACACTGATGTCCATTGAGCATGACATCCTTCGTGATTTGGATTTTAAGGACATAATTAGGGCCTTTTCTTTAAAGAAGACCAGACGAAAGCACTTCTAAAAAGGTAAGAAAGTGCTGTATTTATAGCTTGTGCAGGTTTTAAATTGTTGTGGTTGTGCATTGTTTTAAGAGAAATGCACATTTATACTGCAAACCTTCTATAAATGTTGCTCAGTCTCATCTTTTTGGTACCTGGCATTAGGCCATGTTGTTATCCATGGTGCTGAATGGAGTGTGTTTGTGTGTCTGTGCAGGTGCAGGTGCATGTGATTGGTTCACAGGGCCCGCTGAGGCCAGAGAAGAGGCTCCTACTTTCATCTGTTTCTGTTCTTTGCTTATGCTGTTATCAGTTATTATCAATGTTTGTGCAGACAGGTGATGGTTGGTGTGGGTTGTTTTTCATAATATCGTTTGAAATCATACTTTCACACATTTTGGTTTTATTATCACCATAACTTGCTGTGTGTGGTTGTTAAATAAAGTGTCTTGTGTTTATGCTCAAGTGGGCTCAGTGATATGTTAATAACAATATTATGGTGTTTTCTGGCTCAAAGAGGGAAAACTCACTGTTGTATGTCTCGATAGAAACTAATGCATTTTATGATGTAGATTACCTAGATATTACACTTTTTTAAAATGAGACTCTATAAATCGAGGGGTTGGGGGGCCTACAAAACCTCTCAGCCCCGGGGCCTAACATTAGGTTAAGGCGGCCCTGATCACAGAGCTCAGGAAGTCTGGGACGGATTGAAGGAGTTTGGACTGAACTATGATCCTGTCGGAATCATTGACAGAAACAATAATCTGATCACGGTGAACTATTACAACTTATAATAATCATCGTTTGTTTTAAACTGTGGAAAACAAGATCTGCTATGATCATATATCAGAATATTATAGACAGTAAGACTGTAACTAAACAAATAATCACTGAACTCTGGAGGAGGAAAACCCTGGACTAATGTCACTGCTGCTATTGAACAATGTGGATTTATAATACAGAACTTTATAGACATTAAACTCCCTCAGACTCTCTGACTGTATACACTTTATAAATGTTCAGTAAATGCTTATATGATGTGTAATATATGTGTATAATTTAATAAAGTTGATTAAAAAGTTTTTTAAAAAAGCATTCATGGTAGTATTTCTCTTAACAACAAACACTTGTTAATCATAATGGTTCTTTAAATAGTTTTTTAAATTAAGATTAGTCTGATAAAATATGAGTTACAGTGTTTGAATATATTATGCATATACGTTTTTCTTTATTAGTTTAAGCAGCAACACTTTATCCGTCATCAAACTCAACATTTAGTCTAATTTGTTTCAAGTACTGAAATAACAACATAGAATAAAATATTAAACATAATAATAAAGTTGGTAACCTGCATAAACTGAGACAGGAGGTAATAATATGTTGATATTTTATTAATTGAAAATAAAAAGGAAACACTGCATTTATAATTGTCCTTTGGCTTTAAGTTATTATGGATTTAATTATAGTTTAAAAGTCTAAAATCAGGTTTGTTGAGAAGGTTTTTAGTTGACACAGATTTAATCCACAGCAGCCTCCTCGGTGTGATCTGTTTCTATTGTTCTATTGTTGTGTTCAAACTGTCGACTGATTGTCTGATTTATTCTCTTTAGTGTTGATCGTGGTTCTCGTCCTCCTTCACTGTACGACACCCAGGTCTTCCTCAGCTCCGACCCCGATAACTTTAATGGATGTGTTCACTCGTCGACTGTCTCAAGGACGTAAACTGACGATACAACTGATATAAAAACAGCATCAAGGACTTTAACAGGTATCAGAAAACAAGAACACACAGCACTGATGTTAGTGTGAGAGTGGATTTAAAGTTTAATTATCACTTTTAAGAACTGGAATGAGTTACAGTTTATCTCCGACCTCTTATGTGACCCCGAGGTCCTCAAATGCTGCGTTCAGGTTCCCAAAACCAGAGTTATAATCAGAGGAGATCAGGAAGGAAAATTCACTTCATTAAAACAACACTTTTATAACAATATTGCTTCCTGTGATCTTTCTATCTCACCTTTTATTCACTATGATTGTGTTGTTTTATTTTATATTGTTACCGATGGTTCTTAGTGTTTGATTCCTGATGTTTTACCATTAAAAGCACTTTGTAAACCTGATTTTAAAAGGTGTTATTTATATATAGTTGATTCTTATTTTAATGAATCACTTTTAAATGATGAAGTGTCTCATTAATGTTCATTTAGACGCAGAAAAGATCGCTGCCCGTCCGTTTCACTCATTGCTGTGAAAAGACTGAAATAAAAAGGAGCTTTTAAAATGATTTCCATTCAGCTTCAAATCAGTTAAACATACTTTGTGTCGTCCAACAGTCGAGTATTAGACAAAAGACTAAAATACAATGAAACATTTCCAGGAATATGTAGATTATTTCCAGGATATTCGGGGACTGTGATAAAGACTAATGTAATATTGGGACAACAGCTGATAAACATCCTTCAGGTGATATTGATCACTGTGTGTTTATTAACTGTATATTTAGTGGTTTAATCTGTTGAATCAGTGTTACAGGAGCGACCTGCAGCACAGAGCAGTTCACACATATTCACATTATGTATTTTATTAGTATTTTCTGTTTCTGTCTGAACTTTAATGGCTGTGAATGATCTGTTCAGGCGGTTCCTTGGCGCATGCGCAGTGTGTAGGGTAACCACTCAGCCAATCCCGTGCGAGCAACAGCGCAGTGAGATTTGCATCATGAACATACAAAGAGAGCCGTCCGCCGGTACCGACTTCATCTGATCAAGGACATCCAATCCGAAATCAACATGCCTGAACCACCCAAAGCACCGAAGAAGGGCTCCAAGAAAGCCGTCTCCAAGGCAACCAAGAGCGGCAAGAAGAGGAGAAGGACCAGGAAGGAGAGCTACGCCATCTACGTGTACAAAGTCCTGAAGCAGGTCCACCCCGACACCGGGATCTCCTCTAAGGCCATGGGCATCATGAACTCCTTCGTGAGCGACATCTTCGAGCGTATCGCCGGTGAGGCCTCCCGTCTGGCTCACTACAACAAGCGCTCCACCATCACCTCCAGGGAGATCCAGACCGCCGTCCGCCTGCTGCTGCCCGGGGAGCTGGCCAAGCACGCCGTGTCCGAGGGCACCAAGGCTGTGACCAAATACACCAGCTCCAAGTAAACAGCTGTTTACTCAACAACAACAACGGTCCTTTTCAGGACCACCCACTGCTTCTACTGAGAGCTCTGATCCTCCTGTTACAATCACTGACATCAGAAACATTTAATATTTTAAAAATATCATCTAAACAATTTAAACCGATTTTATTGAGGAAACAAAGGATTTCCTTGTCACTTAATAGGCACCTAGATAATGCTACAATTTTAGATGATCGATATCCCAATACTTACGATCCTCACATATACTAATGTGAGTGTATATATTGATTATTATAAATATATTAGATTTATCAGTGTATGTTGACATATTAAATGTATTTAGTTAAACCAACCTTCCTGTATATAAAATATAAAACAAACATAAACCACTATTACATTTGTGTATTGGACATTTTATACTTTATACGTTAGTAACTACATCACTTATAGTCTGGAGTTCTGGATTATATTTAATGTTATAGGGTAATAATTATTCATGTAACTTATAAAGAACAGAAATAGGGAGCTGACTGGTTCCTGACCAACACGTCACTATAATACTAATGTAGAGCAGATAATAAAGTGTTTGTGTTTTTCTTCATCATTTTACCTGATATGTGTTTTATGTGTTGTAAGGTTTCTTCCTGTAGTCACTTTCTTCTGTTTTCTGAATAAATTGGATGGATTTGTATACGTTTGCTGTTTCTTTCTACAATTATAAACATATTTCTCGAGTTTTACTGTATATTTGATTTTGATTTTATTTAGAAACATCACTGGATAGCAGGTTGTGCTGATTTTAGGGGAATAAACTGAATTCAATGTTTTTACCACTTTCTATATTCACAAAGACAAACGTTTGAGAGATTAGTGTCCATATAAACACATTTCTTCTACATCTGAATGATCTGAAGAAATGTACTAAGAACTGAGGAGGAGATATTCAATTAATATATAAATACATACAAATATAACTTGTTTTTGAGGTGAACAGATGTCTGATTACATTTATGGAGGGAAACTAAAGCACCGTTCATCAACAGATTAACATGGGTTTGTGTTTAACCTTCAAAATAAAGGCACGATCAGAAGCAGTTAAACTATTTAGTTTATGATCTACATTAAATTAAATTCAGGCTATATGAGACAAAAAAAGCTTCACTCTCATTTCTTTTCATATCAAGAAAATACGTTTTTAGGTCATATAAGTATTTTTTAGTAGCCTATTGCATTTTAAGTAATATGATTACTTTTATTAAATACTATAATACTAATACTATAATATAATTTAATACTTAAATACTATTAAATCTAATATATTTTAGACACATATCTGGTATATGTATATAGTGTATATTATATTTGGGAATGTGTGACTGATGTCTTTCTTTGTCTAACTCATCCACAATGAGTCTTTCTCTTATAAACATTCTGGCGGTTAAATTGAAGAATAGTCCAGTTTGAGCGGTCTTGTTTTATTGTGAAAAGGCCGAATGGCGCCAAACGGAAGCGTTCTAATGACAGGAAGCTAGAACGAGCTCGTTTCTGATTGGCCGATCAGAGTAACGCTCGCTCGCTGCTCGGTATAAAGTTGGGTTCCGCTCTCTGAGAAACATTCTCCTTTCGACTCTGACTCGAGAAATAACCTGAAAATGTCTGGACGTGGAAAGACCGGAGCCGGAAAGGCCAGAGCAAAGGCAAAGAGCCGTTCATCCCGTGCTGGACTCCAGTTCCCCGTCGGCCGTGTCCACAGGCTGCTGAGGAAGGGAAACTACGCTCAGCGTGTCGGTGCCGGAGCTCCGGTGTACCTGGCCGCCGTGCTGGAGTACCTCACCGCTGAGATCCTGGAGTTGGCCGGAAACGCCGCCCGTGACAACAAGAAGACCAGAATCATCCCCCGCCATCTGCAGCTGGCCGTCCGCAACGACGAGGAGTTGAACAAACTGCTCGGTGGAGTCACCATCGCTCAGGGAGGCGTCCTGCCCAACATCCAGGCCGTCCTGCTGCCCAAGAAGACCGAGAAGGTCGCCAAGAAGTAAATACCCGGATCCGACTTGAACACAACACAACGGCTCTTTTAAGAGCCACACACTCCTAACTAACGAGACAGTTCCTCTTGATTATCAGTGACTATTACTGAAAGTTATCAATGATATGAATAACAGCCACTATATATAAATACTTTATTTATCCTGAGTAATCCTTGTGTGTGTTTCCAGTAGTTGTTAACAAACCTACAATGAGAAACTCATAACACAGTGAACTGTGCAGATGGAGGCAGGATTTGTCCTTTATCCTCCCTGCTCTAACTAGGAGCTGTTGCAGTCTGCCACTGAACAGTCTGAATAAACACTAAATAAGGAACACATTAACATTGTTTACAGAAACTGGTAGCTGGGATAACTATTTAACAGTGTATTACAACATAAGTGTCAGGAAGCTTTAGAAAAACAAAGTTTGAATATAGAATTTGCCAAAATGAACTTAGTTACTGAGTCTTTAAGTAGACTAGCATGTAACTAATAATAGCATCATGATTTATAGGAACAAAGATGGTGCAAAGAAATAAAGTACTTCTTAAATTATATGTAAATACATGAAGATATTTTTAAACTGCAGGTTCTAAAATAAAATGCAGGAACGGTTCAATAATACTTATGTTGGATTTGAGTATAGATAATTTTATCTGCAATTTATGCTGCTAAACTGCATATTTTTGCATATTGTGTATACCTGCATTTAACTGCAATCTTTGTTACATTTAGTTACTAGTTTTCTTTTTTTCTACTTATGTTACCTGTATGTGCTTGCATTTAGTTAATTGTTTTTGTTGGCCTTTATTTTATTATTTCTACTCCAACCCTGTATTACTTTCCCACTTTTGTATTGCAACTGTTTCAAACAGTAAGGATAAAATACTTTGCCATACAACTCAGTGCAAGTTGCTAGGGATTTGCTTCAGTGTGCTCAGGACATCAGAGACACAAAACATATTGATACATATACGGTATCCCACACAGGATACACGCAGATCACACAAAAAAAAAAAAAAAAAAAACCTGTTCACAACATACCTGGATGACAGAGGGATAGATGTCAAGTGTCAAGAAGATATGGTGCATTGGGATGCAGAGCGCAACCACAGACTTTAGTTCTATGTATGAGTAGTCACTCTCAATGAAGCTATTACAGAAATATACATGTATTGGTGGGTAAGTAATATTATGTTGAAACTAATGTAAAGGAACACATATAAAAGCTATTAGGTCAGTGAACCACCACTATGTAGTATACATTAATATACTATTGCTTTCCATATGGACATTAGTAGACAGTAGGAAGTTAAATATTAGAATCTATTAATGTACAACTCAGTAAATCTTAACTAATGATATAAAAGCCTTATTGTGCATAAATAGAGAATATTGATTATTAATAAAACAAGCAGCTGTATGAACTGACGGAAACTTTGCTCTCTTATCGGATGTATGTGGCTCTTAAAAGAGCCGTTGTGTTGTTGGTTATCGGGTCTCAGGTCAGTTTAAGCCCTCTCTCCGCGGATACGGCGGGCCAGCTGGATGTCTTTGGGCATGATGGTCACCCTCTTGGCGTGGATGGCGCACAGGTTGGTGTCCTCGAACAGACCCACCAGGTAAGCCTCGCTGGCCTCCTGCAGAGCCATGACGGCGGAGCTCTGGAAGCGCAGGTCGGTCTTGAAGTCCTGAGCGATCTCCCTCACCAGGCGCTGGAAGGGCAGCTTGCGGATCAGCAGCTCGGTGGACTTCTGGTAGCGGCGGATCTCCCTCAGAGCCACGGTACCGGGCCTGTAACGATGGGGCTTCTTCACTCCGCCGGTGGCGGGGGCGCTCTTACGGGCAGCCTTGGTCGCCAGCTGCTTCCTGGGAGCCTTTCCTCCGGTGGACTTACGGGCGGTCTGCTTGGTTCTGGCCATTGTTGATTATTAGTCTTCTCTGAGTTCACAGCGAAAGAATGAATTCTCACTGCGAACAGCGGCTTTATGAAGGAACTGCCGCAGCGAGGTCGGCGCTGATTGGTCCAGCCACAGTTGCGCGCGCGTTCTAGCTCAACGACTATTGGCAGAAAAAATCAAACTAACCAATCAGCGACAGGCTGTTGAACAAGAGAGACACCAACGGTTGTCTGGTTGAACGGTTTCATAGAGACTGTTTATATCCATTAATGTTAAACATCCTGAACCACACTGTGTGTAGATATATACTCTATAAACACACACACATATATATATATAATTATATAATTACATAAACAGGTACCTATATGTATAGAAAGTAATTACATTATTCCTCTGAACTATTTATTGAATTATTAATTAAGTATTGTGCTGATACAATTACTTCATTTTCAGACAGAAACATTGTACTTGTTTATTTTACTACATTTAATGACAGTTTGATACTTTGAGACTTTACAAACTAAATATAATAAATATTAAATCATCATTATACATTATAAACTATTCCGCAGTGTGAAGTGATATCTGAGTACTTTCACCAATAAATGATCAATTACAGAAAGGGTGAAAATAATCATTATGAATTCACATAATTATATTATATATACATTAATGCACTTTTGGCACTGGTTGCACTTTAATGTTGTAAAGTTGTTCAATAAAGTTTCTTTTAAAGTGGAAATAATCCACAATGGGCCCAAATAATTGAATGAATAACATTTCATTAAGATTTTCATTATAAACAGGTTTATTCATACATATACAAACATCATCAACATCACAATAATGATGCTTTTTATTGTAACAATAAAATAATTGAGGTCTGTAAAATAACATTCAGAGGAAGATATATTGACTGTAAGGAGCAGAAATATTAATCAGTTATATTTGCTTGAAAAAAAACAACCTAAATAAAGTTTTAACTAGAAATCAATTTTATTTCTTCAAAGATCAATAAAACTGTGTTAAAAAAAAACAGCCATTAACGCATTTAATGACCGATTAATGATGTTAGATGTCTTCAATCTGACGCCAAACTGGGGTGTCCAGACATTTTAGGGCAGTGGCCCCCCGACCCAACTCCTCTAGATCCGCCCCTGAAAATAACTTTTCAGATAAATTATGTTAAAAAAGCTACAAAAGTAATAAACGTACAACTACTATAAACATAGAAATACATAAATAAAATGTTAAAGAATCTCAAAATTATATAAGTAGAGCAAGTAAACAACAAACTGTAGTTTTATTTTATTAAAATTCTGACCATTTAATAATAATAATAATGTTGTAAGTGTAGTAAATGTGTATTTTATGAAACGCTTGAGACATTAACACGAATAGAAAACATGAAAAAAGCACCGTAACAAAAATATATTCTATAATAGAAATGTATAAAACTGAATTTCTTAAACTAATTTGGGACGAGTGCAACAGACAAATAATTAAACTTAAATAAATTAACTTTGTGTTATTTGTAGAGTGACTGAAGATTCTTCTCATCAACATTATTGTGACACTGAATGACTGAAATATAAAACAGGACAATAATTATAACCCCATATTGAGCCGATAGCTGTAAATGTAACTGAATATCTAATATTTAATAAAGCTGTACAATAATAACCTCCAGTTGTATAAAGTATATACAGTATAAGCAGTAGAGGATGGAGGAGCTGCTCTTTAGTAGAAGCTGTGGTGGCTCTTAAAAGAGCCGTTGGTGCACTGAGTGCAGGATTAAACCGCTTTACTTCTTGGTCTTCTTGGGAGCTGCTTTCTTTGCCGGAGCTTTCTTTGCCGGACTCTTCTTCGGAGCGGCCTTCTTCACCACCTTCTTGGCGGGAGCCTTCTTGGGACTCTTCTTCACTGGCGCCTTCTTGACAGCTTTCTTGGCCGGTGCCTTCTTCGGGGACTTTTGGGCGCCACTTTCTTGGGTGTCGCTTTCTTGGCGGCGGTTTTCTTGGCTGCGGGCTTCTTGGCTTTAACGGGGGCCTTCTTCTTCACCACTTTCTTCACGGGTTTGGCGGCTTTGGTCTCCTTCTTGGCGAGCTTGAAGGATCCGGAGGCGCCGGTCCCGGAGGTCTGGGCCAGGGTGCCTTTGGTCACCAGCTTGGTGACGGCGGTGTTGATGCGCTTGTTGGCCTTGGCCACATCGACGCCTTTGCCGGCCAGGACCTTCTTCAGCCCCGCCAGTGACAGCCCCTTGCGCTCCTTGGACTCGGTCACGGCGCTGATGATCAGCTTCGGGAGGGTGGGTCCATCCTTCTTGGGCCGGGGAGCCGACTTCTTCTTCGGGGCCTTGGCCGGGGCTTTCGCCGGGGCGGCTGCTGGAGCTTCTTCTGCCATGTCTGTCAGTCTGTGCTGTGTCTGTGTGAAGGTGTCCGAGCTGAGAGCAGGAGGCGGGACTTATAAAGCACATGAGAACCGTGGAGAGTCAACCCGCGCCGCCGCTCCGCCGTCCTGCTCTCGTGTGGCGACACTTTGTGTTTTCTCCTCCACATTTTGGGGATAAAATTCAGCGAGAGAAACGTTTGAGATCACAACTGTTGTTGTTTCGGGGAGAAAACGCCCGTCCCTTCGCACTCGGCTCCGTGTTTGGCGCCGAGGACTCGCTGGTTTACTTCCAGGAGGCTTCAAACCTCCGTAACACACAGTCACTTTGTGCAACTCGCAGTCTGTCTTCACGTTTCGTCTCCTAAAATGTATAAAATCTGTCGCTATGTGAAAGTCACAGTGGTGTTACAGTGAGCAGAGACATGTGAGCGGACAATAAGAGTGAAATCGCGGCGGTGGACGGATTTATTTGCTCTGAATCAGAGAAGTTTTGTGCGGAGGTAAACACACGGGTGCCGCCGGTGACTCAGGCGGTTCTCGGACTCCTGTCACAGATGGATCCGCCGGGAGGAAAACTCCAGTTTCCACCAAATGTCCCATTGAACGTGAAGACACTGATAACACAGTTTAATATGTTAATAATCCTCTGATTCAACCTTTTAATTCACTTACATTTCTGTCTCCTGCTGTACCTGAATCACTTCAATCTGCTGCACATTAATATCACATTGTACACACTCTCATATATTCCTCAGTTCATTATTATTTAAATCATATTTACAACCTTTACTGACACTGAGTGTGTTCACAGGACTTTATTAAACTGCTGTAACACATAATGAAGTAACTGCAGTGAACAGGAGATA